CTCTTTTACTTGAGATTGGCACTAACCGCTCACACACACGCACGCACGCACACACACACACACACACACACACACACACACACACACAGTTTTTTTGCATTTCATACAGTATTTCTTAATCAAATTTTGACCCCCTCCCCGTCCATGCCCCTCCCCCACCTCCCCACCAGCCCGCATGTATTCTGCCATATATATTAAGTCCTATATGGCCGAGCATTTGTACCAGCTATCCTTCAATGCAAGTTCATCCACCGGAGTCTAGTCAGCCTATCTGGAGATCTTAAAAATCTTTTGTAAAATGACTTTACTGCCTAATGGTTGTGAATTGCTTTCAAAGAGCTCCCTCTGCTGGACATATTGGAACATTGCAAGTTCCATACCACACATTCCAAGTAAAATAGTAATTTCCAGAATGTTAATTTAAATACATGTAATGATAACTTCCTATGTATGTAGATAGCCATTAAATTTCAAAAATATATGAAAAAATGAAAATCTTTTCTTTTCAAGTAAGACATTTTAGTATAAAATGAGAACAGCCACAGAAAGTCAGCCTGTGGTGAGACACAGCGCGGCTCTGCCTGGCTCTGGCTGAGGAATTCACTGTGAGGTCAGTCTTTAGCAAAGTCTGTCAGTCGCTCAGTGTGTGTGTCACTGTGCTGCTGCCCTCTGCTGTCTTCTCTTAGGGTTAAGTGCTATCACTAAGTGGAAAAGGCCCAGGGACAGAATCCCTCATTCTGGGAGCCATGTGGACGTCTGTGACATTTGTGGTCACAGGTCACAGGTTCTACATAGGCCAGTTAGCGCTTAGCAGTTCCCCCTAATGGGGGCGGGGTACATCAGTCAATCATCAGCTTTAAGCATACACTGGAAAGCCAGGACAAACATCTTTCCAAACTAGGAAAATCTTGCTGTTCAGCATGGCAGCTTAGACAGTAATTTAGACACATATGTGTGTATTATATGAGCTTAAGCACATTGTTGTGTGTTCTTTAAATGTGCATATGTATGTGTATATCCACAATTACATCTGCATCTCTATGTCCATCTTTATTCCTCCCTCGTCTCCTCTAAAGCAAGGTTCAGCAGCTTTATAACCAAAAGTGCCATCATAGAAATCAAGCCAGGCCTCCAGGTGCCTGTCCCAGTGTGCACTAAGAAAAGGAAAGAGGGGCTGGAGAGATGGCTTAGCAGTTAAGAGCACTGGCTACTTTTGCAGAGGACCAGGTTCAATTCCCAGCACCCACATGGTGGCTAACAACCATCTGTAATTCCAGTTCCAGGAAATTATGACACCCTCTTCTGTCCTCTGCCAGCATTGCACAACACGGGCGCACTCACATACATGCGAGCAAGACATCCATTGCACTCACATGCATGCAGACAATGCACTCATGCACATAAAATAAAAATAATAAATAAAATATTTAAAAATGATAAATCTTTTAAAAAGGAAATAGAAAGCTAGACATGGTAGAGCATGCCTTGAGGGGCACTTGGGGGAGGGGGAGCAGAGGCAGGTGGATCTCTATAAGACAGAGTCCAGCCTAGTCTACATAGCAAGTTCCAGGCCAACTAGAGCTACAGGGAGACCCTGACTCAAAAATATACCTAAATAAATAACAATAAGTAAAAGAAAAGAGAAATATAAGAGGCCTCAGAAATGGGGTGGGAGAGTGGCAGTCCAAGAAAAGGAAAGGGGCCAGGTGGAGCAGTGTTTCTGAGCACTGTGCTAAGCATTTCACACACTCTACCTCACTGAGTACTGTGTTAAGTAAGCACTTTATACACACTGCCTCACTGCACTTCACATTCATTCTACAAGGGAGGAACCATTTTCTCTCATTTTAGAGACATGCAAAATAGGACTCTGAGAGTTTAATGACTGTATCCATGGTTACCCTACCCATAAGCTGCATAGCTGGGATCTGAAGGCAGGTGTGAGGAGAGCCATTGATGCCAGATTGACTCCAAGGAAGGGAATAGAGGACAAGACAAGGAGGGAAACAGAAAGGAAGGCTACTAGAGGGTCATACTAGAGGGTCATAACGAGTGCCTGCCATAACAAGTACTAGAGGGTCATACTAGAGGGTCATAACGAGTGCCTGTCAAGGCACTTGGGATCACTGGTTCCTTTCTAAATTTCCCCTGAGAAGATCTCAGTACATATTGCATAGGGTTGGTGAGACTGTGTCTGAAACTGTCCCATGAGGTTGCTGAGGTAACATCCTTGAAAGGCCTTCCCTCAAAAGCTCTTGGAGAGAGAGTGCGAACACTTAGACACTCACACTGCACAGACTGAACACATGAAAGCACACCGTTTGTTGGTTCAAATATCCCTGGAGTATTACAACTGTCCTGTGAGATGCCACACTCTCTGGCACTGCAAGATTGCAAAGAAAGTTTTAATAATCAGTCTCCAGTGAAAAAGTAAGGGGAAAGGGGAACAAATTCTGCATATTAGCGATGGGCGGTTTTCAGCAGTTAGCTAATTTAAAATGAAAAAAAATCTGTTTGGGGCAGGAAAGGAGCTGAGTTACCGCACAGTCTTTCCATCACTCTAACACCAAGGCCTTTCCAAGGCCAGGTCTGACTTGTTTCTTGCCCATACAGATGTGTTGAGACATCAGCCTTGTCATCCTTCTTGTAAAACCTGCAGTGGATCTGAAACTCTCTGCACTTCATGTCCAAAAGGTCAGTGTGGAGGGTGAGGAGAAATGGTGGTGGCTGGGCCTGTCCACTGTCACTCCTGTCATTGGTGGCTCTGTGTTCAGAGCCTGTATGGCACTGGTCTACTGTGTTCAGAGGCTGTAGGGCATTGATTGAGTCCCAACTTATGCTCCCATTATGCAGGCTGCTGGGGATAGACACAGGGAACCAAACAGTGACCAGTGATAAAAGTTGGCTTCTAAGAACAAAGAATGCTTCTTGCTCGAAAAGCACGATGACGTCTTGGGCTGACCTGGTGAAGAATTAGCTGGGATCTATGGATGCTTGACATTTTTAGGGCCCCTTGTTCTTGTAAGACATATCCAAGGCAGGAGAACTTGCGGGCCAGAGAGATGGCTCAGTAGTTAAGAGCGCATACTGCTCTTACAGAAGACTTGACTTTGTTCCCCAGCACCCACATCTGGCTGCTTACAAACACCTGTAACTGTAGTTCCAGGGGATTCAACGCCCACTTCTGGTCTCCTGGTGTGCCTGCACGAATGTGGTGCACATAAACTCGGGCAAATCATAATTTTTCTAAATGGTCAAGGGAACTCAGGGTAGAGGATGTGTGAGGATAAGGCACTGACTGGGGCTTCCTTCATCATTGGCACTGAATTTAGTGACCAGGAGGGAAGGACAGGCCGGCAGCATGATAGCTCCTTCAAAACACCTTTGTTTTCCTTCTCCATGAAAACATTAGCAGTAGCACAGTTTCCTAATCCATGACATTAACATAAAGCTTGCAATGCTCCTATCTAATGAGCCTTAGAAAAGCCAAGAGGGAATGTGCAGTGTTAATGTAGTCAGCCCTCAAAGCACAGTCCCAGACAGTCGCCAGTCAGCCTCCTTATTCTCTGGGAATTTGTTCCAGCTCTTCCTGGAGATCTGAAACCACTAATAGCGCCAAATCTTGTCTACACCATTTTTCTCATAACACATTCCTATGATAAAGATTAATTTATAAATTAGGCATGATAAGAAATTAACAATAGCTAATAATAAAATGGGAAAATATAGCAATACACTGTAATAAAAGTTTTTATAAATTAGGAAATTTTACTTCTGAAATTTTCATTTAATTTTTTTGACCTTGGTTGACATCAATTAACGGGGAGTTTAGAAGGCAAAACCATGAGTAAAGGGGACTGTGGTAGCACCGTCTGTCAAAGCAGAATTTAAAATAATTAGATATACCAAAATGATGATCCTATAAAAGGTGGCACTCAAAAGAAAAACAGTATTTTTCAGAATTTTGGAGTTGAGATGATTCTGAAACAGGTTTTTTATCTTTATGTTATTTAAAAAAAATTTTTTTTGTCTTTTTGAGACAGGGTTTCCCTGTAGCCCCAGCTGGCCTAGAACTCACTATGTAGACCAGGTTGGCCTTGAACTCACAGAGATCTGCCTGCCTCTGTCTCCTGAGTGCTGAGATTAAAGGCATGAGCCACCACGCCCACCCTATTTAAAAAATTTTTAATGTATGTGTTTGCACCATCAGTATGTGTGTGGGAGTGGGTGTTACACGTGCATATGTATCTTCACATGCATGTGAAGGCCAGAAGTCAACCTTAGACTTTGTTCCTCAGGATGGCTGTCCACCTTGTTTTTGTCCCTGTTTCTTTTTTCTCTCTCCCTCCCCTGGTTGGTTGGTTTGCTTGTTTTTAAAGCAGGTCACTCATTGGTCTGGGGCTCAGCAATTCACCTGGACCGGCTGGTCAGCCAGTGAGCCCCTGGGAGTCTCCTGCTTCACCTCAGCAACGGTGGGATTATAAGCACTTGCTACTATTAGATTTTGGAGGCAGAATACAGGAACAATAGGAGAGAAAGAAAATGACCACATCTGACTGCAACACACTAGACCGTGTTTATTAGCACAGGAGGGGCAACAACATTCCCATGGGATGGAGACTGGACATAGGGCTGGTCAGGGTCTTATATAGGGGCAGTAGCTATAAGGGGATTTTGGGGGGACAGCTGCTGCTGGGGGGAGATTTATTTTTGGCCATTTTTGTGATTTCTCCTGGGACTTGTCTATGTGGCCTGTCTGGACACCCAGACAGAGGGCAAGAGGAAGTGCCCAATATAGAACTGGATGGCCAGGGACCACACGTTCTGTGTCAGGGGTCCTATGTTGTGCCAATTTCCTTCAGCTACTACACTCAGATTTTTTTTTCATGGCAGCCAGCAGTGACAGCTACAGCTGGGAGTAGGCGCCTGCAACCACGCAGGCTGACTAACGCCTACACTCAGATTTTTATATGGCTTCTAGGGATCGAACTCAGGTCCTTATGCTTGTATGGTTAGCACTTTACTAGCAGCTACCTCCCCAGCCCCTTAACTTTTTAAAACTTATTTGTTGTTGGTGGTGGTGGAGGTGGTGGTGTGTGTGTGTGTGTGTGTGTGTGTGTGTGTGTGTGTGCCATGCTGTCAGAGGACAGCTTTCAGGACTCGGGTCTCCCACCACGTGGGTTCCAGGGACTGAGCTCCATTTTCCAGGCTCAGCAGCAAGTTCCTTTACCCAATGAGCCATTTTGCCAGCCCCATTTTTTTTTTATAATGATACTTGCTTTTCAGTTAAACATATGTAAGGGATGAAGCATGTATTTAGGGGAAGGCAAATGAAAAAGCCACATCTACCACAGACAGGTATGGGGAGGCAGGAGAGGAGACCCCATGGTGCTTCCTCTCCTGTGACTACATAAAAGACAGAGCTGATCAGCAGCAGGGCAAAGGGAGGCCCTGGGGTGACCAGAGTGTTACGTCAGCTCAAGTAGAAGGAGAGCCAAGGCTCTGTAGCACCAATTTCCTTCCAAAAGATGAGTGCATCTGGGAGGACTGAGCACCACTAATATTTTGAAAGCCTGAAATAAGTGCTCCACATTCCTGGTCTTTGAAGTTTTTAAGATAAAGCCACTGTGGGCATGAGTCATTTGAGTGACATATATGGTGTTAGGACCAACCGTGACAGCTGTTCTCTGCCTTCTTCCCTGATCTCCAGGGGCATACCTGTTGCTGCAGGCATGTGTTTCCTCCTGTCCACAAGGCACATGGCCCTCAGTCAGGAGTGGCAGCTGTGAAAACTGTTCCGAGGACTGTGCCTCTTGTTCTGGAGCCAATCTTTGCCAAAGGTGCCTGAATCAGCCGGATCGCCCTCTGTTCCTGCATGAAGGCAGGTGCTTCCACGGGTGCCCTGAGTAAGTTTCCTCCTTCCTTTCGCATAATACCTGGGGGAAATTTCTTCCTTTTCACCAAAGAGCTCTCTCTCATCTGTTAGAGCACCCACATGATGCCCTATGTTGACTGTGGGCCTCAGCAGTCAAAACTACACAGAGCCAGGTGCCCACTTCTCCCTGTAATATTTCAATGCATGCATTTTCTTTAATTTTCTTTTTGAGACAGGGTCTCCCTATAGCCCCAGCTGGCCTACATGGACCAAGCTAGTTTTGATATCATAGAGATCTGCCTCCACTTCTGGGATTAAAGGTGTATATCGCTATGCCTGGCTTAAATATATATATATATATGTGTGTGTGTGTGTGTGTGTGTGTGTGTGTGTAATTCTTTGAGAATTTCATACAGTGTATTTTGATTATTTTGATCACATTCCCCTTCCCCTTAACTCCTCCCAGATCTAACCCCACTTCCCTATCTACCCAATTTCCTACCCCCCCAATCAAACTCCAATATGTATTGCCCAAATCTCAATTGTGTGGAACTTGCCCTGGATTGTAGTTGACTTATCAGGGTCACAACCCTTAAAGAAAACTGGTTTTTCCTCTCCCAGAAGATATCAACTGCCAACTGTTCCTCAACTAGGGGTGGGAGTTCATGGCCATCTCCCCACTCCATGATGGGATTTTGTCTGGCTTGAGCTTGAACAGGTCTTGTGCATGCTGTCACAATTGCCGTGAATTCGTATGTGCAACTGCCCTGCTGTCTGGAAAACACTGTTTCCTTGTAGGCTTCCATCACCTCTGGTTCTTAAAATCTACCCCCTACCCCCCACCCTTCCACTAAGTTCCCCTAAGTTCCCCAAGCCTTGGAGAAAGGTATGATATAGATGTCCCATTTAGGGCTGAGCACTCTGCAGTCTCTTATTCTGCATGTTGACCAGTTGTGGGTCTCTGTATTAATTGCTTTCTACTGTCAATACATATATTTTTACTTTGGTGAAAACTGTCATACAGCTTGCGCAACAATGGGGTTATAGTCTTAGAAAGGCACTTAGATCATTGGGTGAACACCACAGTGTTCTTACACAAACCTGGATAGTATAATCTACTATACACCAAGCCTACACAGTGTAGACAGACATGTACAAGGTCCATCGATGACCAAATCAGAGTTGTGTGGTGCCTGACTATTCTTTTCCTACCTTGTATTAATAATCACATGTCAGCTCTTTTCTCCATCACAAAAGTGAAGTTGTGATGTGAAGCTCGTCTAAATTTTAAAATAGGTGAGTTATGAATTACAAATAATAAATGTTTGTTAATAAGATCCTGTTTATTGATTCTTGTGGCTTTCTCAGTCTCTTAGTTTATAATTCTCTTAGTCTTCCTACCAACAGGATTCTCCTGAGAGGGATGAGAATAGCAAACAGGAGGTGCTTTTACAAAAAGCAAGAAGTGACAAAATTCGGAGCAAAATGACCTGGCAAAATGACGATTCTGTCATATGACAAAGTTAGGAAGCCCCACGTGGTAACGACAGTGGCCACCGAGGTCATCAGAAGCCCCATCCTTCCATTTTGCTCTTGAACTTTCCTTGATTTGTCCTCCCTGGCTGGCAAATTTACAACTTAGACATATTAAAAGATTAATAATGAAATAGAACTGTTATAGCAATATAGTATAATAAGTTCTGTGAATCTGGTCACTCTCAAAATATCTTATCGTACTGCACTTTTTGTTGTGTGGCACTATTTCTGGGGAGACATGAGTAAACATCTACTCACACCAGATGGGGAACCAATGACAGACCAAAGTAATGATACCACCAAAGTCCAACTTGGGGAACCAATGAGTATGTTGCTATTTTAGGAGTATAGGTGAGGGGTTGTTTACAAGAGCATGGACAGCTCAAAACAGCTACATCACCAAAAGCCCACGCAGCATGGGTGACGACTCATGAAAGCTGGGACCCAGGAACTCTCTGCACAGCTTGCAGGCGGTTAGACAGTTTTGAGGGTCTCCTCTCCTTAGCAGTCTCACTGTTTATGTAACTGGAGAGAGAGGCCTTGTAAATCTGGTAAGTTTTGTTGACTTCCTGAAACTTCTGAGCTGTTCACTTTCTGAGTCTTAACAGTACCTCTTTAGAACTTCCTGAGTCTTAAGGTGCTTCCCTCCATTATATAAGCCAGGATGGAATGTTTTGATTTGGAGGAAATGTTTACGCAATACCCTTCTTGGAGGTGTTGCATAGTGTGAGGCTGCTACATAAAGTTATTTGAACATGAGCACTGTGATACTGCTAACAACCCAGTAGTCAATCTGCTAACAGAAACAGCTGCTGACTGACAGAAGTGTATCACAACAGCATGGATAGCTGTTGTGGGGCAGTGGGAGGTTGAACCATTCTTAGGGAGAAATGGGGTGCTGAAGAACACAGCAGCCACTGTAATTCTGTAATCCTTGAGCAGTAAGAAATCCAGAGAATGGTCTGGAAATCTGGCAGGCTGCAGGACACAGAGTGTGACTTCTGTTTTGAGTAGTGTGATCTGGTTACCATGGAGGCCCCATCTTTCATTTCTTAAGAGACAAGGATTCAGTGTTTCCCAGGTTGGTCCCAAACTCCTGGGCTCACGTGATTCTCCCACCTCAACTTCCACAGTAGCTGAGACTATGCACATGCGCCATCAGCTTTGTATTCACAAGAAAAGCAGAGAAGAAGTCTGTGGAACATAGAAGACGAAGATTCTCTTGAGAGAGTTACTACTATTCTAAGAAATTTCCCATATTGCTTCGAACAGTATTAAGATGTGGAATAGGACCCTAATAGACAATGAAATGGCATCTAGACATTCAGAAATGAGATCAACTATAGTGGATACTGCTTTTTCCAGTGTGGTAGATGTTCATTAAAGAAAACTGAAATAGTCACCTATGTACATTGCTGATTGTCTTAAAAACAATGAAACAGCACACGGGAGGCTGAGACAGAAGGGTCATGAACTCAGGGTCAGCCTACATAGCAAGACAAAAACAAAAAAGGCAACAAAAAAGTTAAGGCATAAGGGTCTGGAGAAATGTCTCGGTGATCAAGAGCACTTGTTGCTTTTGCAGAGGACTTGGGTTGGGTTCCCAGCACCCCCATGGTAGCTCACAACCCTGACTCCAGTTCCAGGAGAGCTAATGGCCTCTGCAGGCATTGCATGCACATGGTGCACACAAACACACATGCAAAGCACTCATACACATAAAATAAAAATAAAATATTTTTAAAAGTTAAGCTGTGTTCAAAAATCACCAAATACAAACAAATTTGAACCTCTGGTGGAGGAGAAAATATCTTTCATTGAGTACTGCCTGGCAGTGGCTTGGGTTTTTGTGAAATGCATGTGAAGTTCTCAAACCACACGGCTTTTCGCATGATGTGTATTTATCAGGCTAGTACCTCAAATTTCACAATTTTACACGTGTGACTATTTTTACCAGTCAAACAGGCTGGTCTCAAACTGAGAGTCTTCTTTCCTAAACCTCCTATGTTCTGGGGTTACAGGGGTGTGTGTGCACCACCATGCCAGGTTGCCATTCCTTGTTTAAAGACATATTTGTCCTTTTTTGAGATTTATTTCTATTATTTTATTTATATGTCCGTGTGAATGAATGCCAAGTGTGTGTGAGTGCCAGAAGAAGGTATCTGATCCCTTACAGCTGCAGTTACAGGTAGTTGTGAACTGCCCGATGGTACTGGGAACCCAACTCAGTTCTCTGTAGAGCAACAAATGCTCTTAATTCCTGAACCATCTCTCCAACCCCAGGAAATATTTGTCTTTTTAAACAGAAGTAATAATGAAATAAGTCATTTTAAAAAAAATAGTGTTAGGCACTTGGGAAGCAGAGGCAGGTGGATCTCTGTGAGTTCAGGGCCAGCCTGGTCTACATAGTGAGTTCTAGGTCAGCCAGGGCTACATAGTAACACAATGAGACACTGTCTTAAAACAAACAAAAATATCCAATAATAACAATAATGTGAAGAGTGATGGGGAAGACACCCAATGTCAACTTCTGGCCTCTGCATACACATGCATAAGTGTGTACATGTGTGTGCGTGCTGATATAAAACAAGAGGGGAGGACTCAGTCCCAGACCTCTTAAATGGTCACCAGACACCAAAAGCTGTTTCCAGAGCCAGGCCTATTTTGAAATCTCTGTTAATACACACACAGAGACACATATACAGGTACACACACACACACACACACACACACACACACAATTAAATCCAAGTATTTTCTACTGTAAAGATCTAACAGAAATAAAAAGTTATGAGAATTTGGGGAATAAATAGGAAATCAGAAAATAGAAAATTATATACAAAGTAACATCCATTACTTTTAAGCAAACTGAGTTTCCAAGGATGGTGCCTACCCCATTTGTTTTAGACAGTTTTGTAGAACCCTCCCTCAGTGAGTCTTGTGGGTTCATTTCGATTGACAAGAGCCTCAACATTTCCTTTTGTCTGAGTTCCTTTGTCAGCAGCCGAGTCCCATCTCAGCTTTTCCAGTTGTTGTCTCCCTTCCATCCATAGGGGCTTCTATGCAAAAGATGGGGCCTGTGAACGCTGCAGATCCCCTTGCAGAACGTGTGAAGGAAATGCCACCAACTGTCACTCTTGTGAAGGAGACTTTGTCCTGGACCACGGAACATGCTGGGAAGCTTGTCCTGAAAGGCATGTGGCTGTGGAAGGGGTATGTAAGCACTGCCCAGAGATGTGCCAGGACTGCATCCACGAGAAAACATGCAAAGGTACCTGGGAACATCCTGAGGGGGGCCTGGCCCTGACAAGCCATTGACTGAGGCTACTACCTGGGAATCATAAGAACCAATCTCTCTGCCTCCACTGAAGTTCATTATCCCCCTGCCTATCATGGAGGAGATTAAGGGCAAGATGCCCTCCTCCCCTTGTGGAATCTGCAAGCTAAGACACACAAGAGTTCGTACAGACATGCTTACACACTAAACTGCATATGAAGGTATGTCAGCACAATACTCAGCTCTCACCTCAGAGGTAATAAATGATAGTTTATTCTGTAACTAAATATGAGTGACCATAGTGGAACATGGATTCAAGTTACCTTAAATACTATGTTCAATGTAGTAACAATTTCATGAAGTGTTCATGGTTACAGAACAAAAGAAAGTCATAAATCAAGGCAGTTTTCAAGTGCTTTGTGGGAACATGAAGTAGGCACCTTATGATGAAAGGAGGACATGTCAGCTGTAGGTCTCAGATGCCATCAGATGATATTCTTAGCTTCAGGGTTGGTGGAAGCTAATGATCTGATAAGTTAAAACATTCCAAAAGGATTTACCTAATCGTTACAATGGTGTTAGGTTAGAGACAGAGGAGGGCAATGAATGACGACTACTACGGGTCTAAAGAGAGACCAATGGAATTTGACTCTGGATCTGTGACCTTGCAACTCCCCATAATATCCAAGCTCTAATCCGTTAATTGGCTGCATAGACTCTTTAACACAGGTGTAGCTATTTTTCTGGGAATGTCAGTTCATAATGAGGCATTATTCAAGGCACTAGAGCTATAGTTGGGAACCCGAAGATCCCATTCTGTGTTCAGAGTTTTTATTGGGAATTGTGGGCTGCTTGAATGACATGGGGGTTATGAGGAGCCGTTTCTTTGTAAGTCATCCCCTCCCAATGTCATATAAACTATGCAAAATTCAAATAGAACTGTGTTACGCTGTTTGTCGATCTGCGTCAGGACCAGGAGACCGTGAGTGAGGGCGGGTCAGAGAGTGGGAAGGGGAAATTTTAGTGTAAAAGATGCATGCATATCTGTAGTCCCAGCACCGTGGGTGCCAAAGCCGGAAGATCAAGGACAGCCTGGATGCCGCAACAGTGAGACTCTGTCTCCGAAATAAAAACAAAGCCACAGAGGCCATTAGAGAAGCAGTGATAAAGATATGAGAAAAAATTAAGGTGGCTCAGTGCCACCAAGCCTGATGACCTGAGTTCAATCCCTGGGACACACATGATGGAAGAAGAGAACTGACTCCTGAAAGCTGCCCTTTGATCTACACACATAGAGAGAGAGAGAGAGAGAGAGAGAGAGAGAGAGAGAGAGAGAGAACTGGCATGCCCATGCACAAGTGAAAAATAAACAAGCAGCTGGGCATGATGGTGCACGCCATTAATCCCAGCACTGGGGAGGCAGAGGCAGGCTGATCTTTGTGAGTTCGAGGCCAACCTGATCTACATAGAGAATTCCAGCCAGCTAGGGCTACAGGGAGACCATGTCTCAAAAGACAAAACAAAAGAAAACAAAAATCCGAACAAACAACATTGCAATAGTTACTTTTAGTTGCTGTGATAAAATACTACAACCAAAAGCAATTTGTGGAAGAAAAAGTGTACTTCAACTTGTAGTTCCAGAGGTTAGTGACCACAGTGGTGGGGCTGGTATGGCAGCAGGTGGCAGGAGCAGGAAGCTGGCTGATCACATCTTGTTGGCACACCAGGAACCAGAGATCAAGCTGGAAGTGGAGTGAGATTCTAAATTAGCAAAGCCACCCCTCATGACACACTTCCTCCAGTAAGGCTGCACCTCCTAAGGGTTCCACAACCTCCCCAAACAGCATCACCAACCAGGGACCAAGTGTTCAAATACATGAACCTAAGGGTAGCAATTCTCATTCAAACCAGCAAACAAATAAATAAATGGAATTAATTTTTTTTTAAAAAGAAAGTTTAGGCAACTTTAAACAAAGAATAACACTATGACTTGAACAGACATTCTTTTCTCTGGTGCTACTTCCCTAGACAGCTATCCAGTTTCCTTATTTTGAGATAAGACAGAATCCCTTCCCTGGTTCTCTCCTAGCCAAAGGAGTCTCTTGGTATTCTCTACAGTATTTTCCAGGATGCCTCCCAAATAAGAGAAGCAGCACAGAACAGCTCACAAAATAAACATCTATTCATTGGTCTGTTCTACCAATGAATGAAAAATTAATGAAGCCAACAGTCCTTAGATGCTTGCTGTGTGGTATCAAGTCTGAGGTGCTTGACATAGTTTTAAAAATCTGTGAATGATGCCAGGCATACTAATGCACACCTTTAGTCCCAGCACTTGGGAGGCAGAGGTAGGCAGATTTCTGTGAGTTCAAGGACAGCCTGGTCTACTTAGTGAAGTCCAGGCCAGCTGGGGCTACAGGGAGACCCTGTCTGAAAGATACCAAAAAGAAAAAAATGTGTGAATCCTTTCCAGGTTCAGGGTAATATCTCCAGCATCTCTGTGGTCACTGTCTCCCACAGCACTGGAACTTTTTGCCCCTGAAGTGCAGGCCATTTCAGCACACAAATCCAGGGTCTTCCAATCATGCTACCACATATGGACTCCCCCTCCCAACATAGGGCTTGTTAGACATTGAGAAAATGTGTGGAGGGGAAAATATATACCCAGGCATATAGTCCAAAAAGCTGAAAAATGGGCTAGCTCACCACAAGAGTAATGAATTCTTCTTACCAACCCCAGGAGATAACCTGACGCCTCTTCCATTCCCCAGAGTGCATGGCCGACTTCTTCCTGTACGATGACACTTGCCACAAGTCTTGTCCCCAACATTTCTATCCTGACTTGGGCCACTGTGTCCCCTGTCATGAAAATTGTTTGATGTGCAGTGGACCCAAGGAAGATGACTGTGAGGTCTGTGCCGAGGCATCCAAGGTTCTCTACAATGGGCTCTGTTTGGATACATGCCCTGCAGGAACATACTATGAAGAAGAGACTGATGACTGCAAAGGTAAGGACTTCTGGCTGCATGGCCGAACGCAGCAGCCTGAGGAGCCTGCTGAAGTGGGTTTGTGCCCACACAAGGCAGGCTCTAGGGCCTCCACATCACCTTCGTCAACTGTCATAGCAACCTTAACCTTCCTGGTCAACGAAGCCAATTTTTAATGGGAAGTGATTTTTTAATGTTGTTTATTACTTTTATTTTATGTGTATGAGTGTATTGCCTGCACAACCAGTGTTGTGCAATGCCCATGGAGGTTAGAAGAGGGTGTTAGATTCCCCTGGAACTGGAGCTATGGAGGATTGTTAGCCACCATGTGGGTGCCAGGAACTGAACCCGGGTCCTCTGCAAGAGCAGCCAGTACTCTTAACCTCTGAGTCATCTCTCCAGCATGGGAATTAAAATTTAATGCATCATTCACAAGTTTCGAACATGTCCATTCCACTAGTCACATCAACTATCTAATGGAACATGCCCAACAAAAAGGGCTCTCCATGTGAAGAATTCTAAGAATGGATGAGCCTTCAAAGATGCTCTAAGCTGATGCTTGTCCATGAGGACCTAAGCTACCAAGAAGTTCATATAATTAGTGAACAGTCCTGTGGAAGACTTTCTCCATACCTGTCACTTCCCTTCACTCTCTCTTACCCTAATGCCCCCCCTTCCATTCAGCTTCTCCTTCCTAAGCCCCCATTCTTCTCCCATTTGTCACTGTGTCAGTACGCACTGCGGAATGATACTGCTGGAGCCAAGGGTATGGCTCAGTAGTAAAACACTTGTCTAGCATGGCCCAGGTCCTGGGCTCAATCCTCAGTACTGCCCTGTAAATAAACAAGAAAGAAAGGAGAGAGGGTTTGCTGTTGCTTGTACCTCCTTATTCTTTAACTGGGCATGGATTTGGATTTTTTTAACCTCCTATAGTTATCAGTAAACAGAAAAATAAAGTGTCCATTATGAGAGGACTTGTGAAGCAAGGGAGAAAAGCATTCTGGGAAAAGGACTTTTCTAATGCCCCAGGATGGCTCACCACATTTCCTTAACCCTTGGGGCAAAACTAACAAGAGCACTTGTTAAGGGTGTGGATTCCTATCCCAGTTCTGTCTCCCCACACCTAAAATGGAGTCTTGCTATGTATCCCAGGTTGGCATTGAACTAGCTACCCTCCTGCCTCAATCTGCCAAGTACTGAGATTACAAATGTGTGCCACCATGCCTGGTTGATCTTATCCTCTTCCAGCTGAGTGACTTAGCATCTCCAGTCTTACTTTGCTGTACAGATAGAATGAGACGCTAGCACTAACGTAAAGCCATGTGTCAGTGCATCAGGAAACTGGGAGCCTGCTGTGCGGTGCGTGCTCCTCCAGGCCTGGAAAATAATGCACACAGAATGCCTGTCCTCATGGAACTCATGTTCTGTTGAGGAAGAAAGATGCTAAGGAAAGATATTACAGAGCAGGAGGGAGCTGTACATGTGAGAATGCATGTACCTGGGAGAAGAGGATTCTAGACAGAAAAAGTGACAACTGCTAAGCCTGGGCAAGTGAACTGTTCCTCATTGATTGTCTAACACATTTACCAAGCTCCTGTTATATGCCAGGCCCTCTCATAGGCACTCATAAATACACAGAAGAGGCCTTTCGTCTTTGGGCAATTGTAATATGTCCCAGTAATTGCCATACTAGACAAGCTGGAGGAATTCTGGAAGGTGAGGAAAGACTGTGGCCATGACTGGAAGACTGTGGCCATGACTGAAAGACTGTGGCCATGACTGGAAGACTGTGGCCATGACTGAAAGACTGTGGCCATGACTGGAAGACTGTGGCCATGACTGAAAGACTGTGGCCATGACTGGAAGACTGTGGCCATGACTGAAAGACTGTGGCCATGACTGGAAGACTGTGGCCATGACTGAAAGACTGTGGCCATGACTGGAAGACTGTGGCCATGACTGAAAGACTGTGGCCATGACTGGAAGACTGTGGCCATGACTGAAAGACTGTGGCCATGACTGGAAGACTGTTTGATGACTGGAAGGCCATACCCTGGTGTGTAACCTTGCTGCTGTGGAACACGTGTCAGAGTTTGGGTGCAGTGAGGTAACTGTAGTGAGCCTCAGAGACATGTCTGAGGGAGCCATTGCAGGAAGCAGCAGCTCTCTAGTTATCACATGAAAAATAAAATCATCATTGGCCTCATTTTGCAATGAAAATGCTCCACTTTGAGCCTGTTATTCCAGCACTCTGGATGCTAAGACAGGAGGATCATGAGTCCCAGATCTGTCTGGGTGATATATAGTGAGTTCCAGGTCAACCTGAGCTGTGTGTTAAGACCCTGTCTGAGTAGGGTAGGGAGAAAGAGAAGAAGGAGGGCAGGCAGTTTCTATTTTAGGCTGTACCCAGCTGATGACCTCACACCCTTGGCACAAAGCTCTAGACATCTCCAGGAGAAAGGAACTCATTTTCTAGATGGTACCCTGACTTGACCTTCTCTCACCCTCTGCTTCCCTGCATGTCTGAAGAGTGCCAAAAGTTCTGCCAGACCTGTATATCATCTTGGACCTGCCTGGCCTGTCAGGAAGGCCTGACAATGGTACATGAGACCTGCATGCCCAAGGAGTGTGCCTCCATGGAGTACTGGGATGAGGGGGCTCACAGGTGCCAGCCCTGTCACAGGAAGTGCTCCCGATGCTCAGGGCCGGCTGAGGACCAGTGCTACACCTGCCCTGGGGACAGCTTTCTTCTCAGTGAGTTATAACACAGTTAATAATCAAACAAAGCCTCAAGGGCCTCTTTGTTTTCTCTCCCTCTGAAAATCCACTGGGCATGAAACCTGAGGCCTGGTGAGCATTCACTTCTTTCTTCTTCCTCCTCCTCCTCCTCCTCATCCTCCTCCTCGTCCTCCTCCTCCTTGTCCTCCTCCTCCTCTTCTTCGTCATCATCCTCCTCCTCCTCCTCGCCCTCCTTGCCCTCCTCGTCCTCCTCCTCC